ATTATTCACTGCAAAGCTCTAAAAATGTATGAAACTTTGGAAGTACTAAACATCCCTCAAATATGATTGAGCTGGTGTTCGGGCTTAGGCTACTACTATGGATACTGCACAGTATTAAGAAAAAGTATTTGATAGTTTAATATCGAAAATAGCACCACAAAACTTTCGCTTCTCTATGCTAACTTAGACAGGCCGATGCACTCGCAATGAAAGATGGGAGGATGATTTCTTTGGAATGAAATCGACAAAATGACTATTTTTAAATCTAGTTTGTGCACAGTGACTGAAGGAAGCATCAGATGAGTAGAAACAAATGCAAAGAAATGAAGTATACAGGAAGGGAAATAAACACGTCATACCCCCATCCATTCTTCTTAAATTTGTCGCCAAGTTCGCGAAGTACAGCGAGATAATCGTTTCGGCACTTAGACTGACAGTCCAAAATGTCAGGAAGAAAAGCGAAAATGCAGAGCTGCCTCTCTTTGCATTGATCTAAAATAAAAATGTATGCCTTCAACCACTAAAGATTAATTAGGCTAACCCTCAACAATCTGCTGGCTCGTGGCTTGGACAACTTCTGGGGCTGGAAGGTTCTCGAGGGCTTTAGCACTTGCCCAACTGACGATGTCTGAGGTGGTTCTGCCGCCATCGTAGTCCACAGCATCGCTGGCATCTGATCCAGGAGCAAAGTATTTGATCGTAGGGAATCCACGAATTCCGAATTTGTTAGCCATAACAGTGTGGACGGTGGCGTCAAGAGCTCCAAGCTGAATGAAAATGAAACAAAAAAAATTCGCATAGCAATATGATAGGAAGTGGAATAAAGAAGTGAATGAGATGCTTGAGCAACTCTCTATATTTTGAAAAAGGCAAATTCTAAAATTTAGAATGAGGAAGCAAAATGTACTTTAACTTTTCCTTTGAGTTCGCTAGCAGCGGCCTTCCAGTGAGGAGCAAGATTCTTGCAGTGACCGCACCATGGAGCAAAAAATTCGACGAGCCAAACGTCTTTGCTATGCAAAACAAGCTGAAAACTCATGTTTAAAACTGATGTCTATTGAGAAAGATAAACAAAAGGGGAAAAAGCTTGATACCTTTTCGAAATTGGCATCAGTCAACTCAATAACATCGGTGGCTCCACCGCTTCCACCACCATGGTCTCCAGACCCTGAACTTCCAGAACTCTTTCCACCAAGGCGCCCAGAAACAACACGCTTCGCCTCAGCAAGGGTCGCATCAGCAATGCTTTGGGCTGTTCTGGCTCCTGCAACCAAACCATCAACTACGTGACAGTTACTGCAAGGAGGACATGCAAGAGGCTGCAAAGACCTGCCGCCTTTCCTTTGGGATACCCTAAAAAACTTTGGTCTCCTCGCGCCGCTAATTGTTGCCTGTACCGGTGCAGCCCCCCCCCCCCCCC